TGGTGGACTGTGCCCGAGGGACGTTTTGAGACACTGCCAGCACTTGGCCTGTTTGGATTGCAGGGTTCGTGACACTATGTGGTAAGTCATGAATATTTGTCCATGAGCTCTGGTATCAAGCAAACCCAGAAGCTGTGGAAAACCACAGAGCATCACAAGACTTCTGCAAAAAACCCCCACCCATAAAACTATCTGTTTACTCAGGTTATGAACCCGTTTACTTCTGGAAACTGCTGGATGTTTTGGTAAAGTTATGGCAAACTTCCAGGTTATAAAAGAAGACCGGAGATCTCATTATTAGCATTTCCCAGGGCAACAAAGAAAAAAGATACCCCTCACTGTGGCATTCTCATTTTCTCATTTTCCCTGCTGTTGCATTGCTTCTTACAATTGGACGTGCTAGGAAAGAGCTGTACAGTCTGTTCGGGGAACTGGAGCAGCATTCACAGCTTAGGGAAATGAAAGGCTCCACGTGACAGCTATTAGTCCTGCGATACCAGGAGGGAGCGCTCGGTGATGAGAGCAGTGTGAGGCTTTGAATAGGAACTCAGGGGGAACTAAAAAACATTAAGAGCATAAGGAGAAGATAACCTTGAAATCTCTCTGGACTAGAAGCCTCTCTCTCAACAAACACTCTGGGCATTAGTGTACCCACAGCTGCCGGCGTGCAGCTACTCCAGCACTGCAAGGCACCAGCTACACAGCCAAAAAGGAGCCTATTGCTTCTGGAAAATTTGTCTGCCTGTCTTTCTCACCCAGAAATTCTGGGTAGCTCAGAAATGCCAGACAACTTCTAAGTGATTTTCAGTCACATTTTTACTCTTGAGGACAAGCATATCCATGTGCAGGACAAATAGCTCTGGTGGGTCCAGGAGCTCAGCAGATGAAGCTCCAGGATAGTCATTAGGCAAAATCAGCCTCGGGGTCTGCAGAACTCAGTCTTAGCTGCTACAAACACCTTCTTTGCTCCAGTACCTTATACTTCCTTCTGGTGTCTTTTGCAAGTAAATCAAAGTAATTGAGACTTGTGTTTGAATCTGGCCTACATTCTCCTGCAGCAAAAGGCAGAGATTTTCAACCAAATTAACATAAAGTGTTTCATAACGTGTGATTTCATAAAGTGTGAAGCTCTGCCCTTCGTTATGCAACTAAAGGCTTTTTGGTTAAGGTTAGTGGGTTTCAAATTGGCTTCAAAGAGAGTAAACTAGCTCTATGGTTCTAAAACCAGCATGTGGACAGGCTCCTCCTTAGTGCCTTTACTGCCAGGCATTTAAATAAAATTAGAGTTAAGTGTCAAAGAAGAATGAAGAATAAAACTGATTAGCTGTGCGTGGCTAATAACAATAATAAAGTGGAAAATATTTTGGACTAAAATTAATGGACACATCTTTAGTATGTCATACGTGAATTTATCTGCATGACTTCCACTCATGTTAATGGGAGCCACTTGGCTAAATTTCTGCTCAGTGAGCTGTTAATTCATCCCTAAGGGATTAACTTTAAATTTAAACTTACAAAAGCCATTTAATGTTAAAGCTGAAACACTGTCTCGAATTCATATGGTTTTTAGAGAACAAAGGAGCAGTGAAATAAATGAGCAGTGATGTATTAGTGTGAATATTGAATTTCGTGAATTTAGTGATTAATTTGGGATGGTCATAAATCGTGACATCCTGGTTGTAACCAATACCTAGTTAATGTGATATTCTGGTGTCCCAGCACCAGATGCTCCCAAACACCTGACAGCACAGGTTAGTGCTTGATAACAAAAGCGTAAGTATGATCAGCATTTTTTTTCTAGCTACTGTCAATAGTTGTCTTATGTTCTGATACAGATGGGACCTGGGATTCTTTACCTTATGTTTTACTTCTAGTTCTCTCAGAATTCTTCTGAATTGTGCACTAGTCTTATTTAAAGGTTGAAATTCCATATAGATTTACCGTGCAAAAAAAGTCAAATTCCTTTTTACCATTTTAAATTATTTCCCTTTCAATCTCTTTCTTGTTCTTTTCTCAAGGAAAAGAATATTTAGGAGGACCTAATTTTCCTTTAGGTACTATTTACTATTTTCTGTCTTTCACTGTATCCTCTCTTATTCCCAGTTTTTCCCAACTGGAATTATCCAAAAATTTTGAGCCTCTTTCCTTGCAAATGTTTTTGATGTGTATCTCCTCCTGTTTCTCTCCTGATGTATGTTTTCTGCTTCTATATATCTTTTGTACTCCTGCTTGTATCCTAAGCACCAATGGTCAAAACCCTGTATAAGTACCCCAGCAATTTATCCAGGTCATAATATTTGCTGTGTTGTTTCCCGTTCACCTATATTCCTGTAGAAGACTGTCAGTTGATTTTTTTATGTCACCACTGTACTAAATAACGGTTTTCCTAAAGCTCTTCATGGTGATTCACTCTTGACCTTTAGTCCAACTTCCATCTCTCGTTTCTTCCTCTGCTCCTCACATACCCAGTGTTATATGAATAAATAGTTGAGAGTATTCACCCTAATACTTGCTTCTTTTCTAAACTGGATTTATAAGTAGCTCCATAGGCCTTGCTGATATCCCTCGCAGCCTTCTCTGCTGTTAAAAGTACGTTATCTCCTGTGCTAGCTGTCATTTTTGCCACCTCTCTGTTCACCTCCCTCCAGCTTGATCACACATGAAATAACAATCCATGTGCTGGGGGCACCCAGAGATAGCCACTTCCTATGTAGAAAATTGCTCATCTCTTCCACCTCTTTGCTCTTTATCTCTTAACCAGCTTCTAATCCATGTTTGATCTTGTCTGGTTGACTGTTTGCTCTCTGAAGAAGGTGCCAGGTCTTTTAGCATTCTTGTAAAATGTTGTGGTGCTGTATAAATATTTATTCATACATAAGCCATTCATTTTATCAGCTCATAGTCATCTAGGTGTTTTATACTTATTAATTTTTTTTCCAATTAACTTTTCTACCACTGAGATAAGGCTTTCCGCTCTGTAATTACCAGGGTCAGCCCCTGCATCTTGTTTAAAATTAGATAAAATATTAACTATTCTCTAGTCCTAGCTGATGTGGAGTATGCTGTATTCTGCAGTTAATTGTAAGAAAAAAAATCTCTTACTTTGGAAAATAGGAACCACACTGCTCATAGCCAGGCAAAGGTATGACCTTCAACAGCCTTCTGCTATTGCAGCCCTATGGTCTCCCAAGTTAATGCCTTTATGGTACGAGCCCACATCACATCCAAATTTAAAGTCCATAAAGTTTATTTTCACTTGAGACTTACTTAAGCCAAGTGGTAAATCATGCTCTTATAATATATATGTCAGAAATTAAGTCAGCATGGCATGCAGCTACCTACTTTCAGTCAGCTGAAAGGATAATACCAAGTAACCTTCCTAGATATGTTGACTTTATTGAACATTGCTCATTTCTGGTTCTGATTTCGGGGCAGGAATATAAAATGTTCTTTCCTTTTTTTTTTTTTTTTTTTTTTTTTTTTTTTTTTTTTCTTCTCTAAATGTCTTCTGAATGGATTAAAATTAAATGTAATTGAATTTATTCTTATGGAAAAAATTTGCCTTCCTAAAAAATTGCTGAGTGCGACAAAAGCTAAGGCCGAAAGATTCAGCTGCTTTCTACAAGTCTAAATCTGGAACAGAAGAGAGTTTACAGGTGATTTAACTGTTATTTCCAAGTATGGAAATGTTCTTCTACAAAGAATATGTCCAGTGGTATATACATTCACATAGTATCAGTTCTTTGCTGGGGAAGATCAGTCCAACATAAGCCTCATTCTTGCAACATTCTTCTCTCATCTCACTAGGATGGTGTGGTAGCATCCCCACAGAGAGGTGGCAAAAGTTCTCTCCCACTTTTAAATTAACTTACACATAAATACCTCTTAACAGCCCTTTCTCACAGATATATAAACTCCTTCCACTCCACTCAGTCACTACTTCCAAATGCAAATTGCTGGGCAATACCGTGGCATTAAAGACATTATTATTAAACTTATTTAATATGAGGCCTTCCTGCAGGTTGACTGTGTGGGTGTGTGTCTCTCTAGAGGTTACTGCAGTGGAAGGCATGAATGCTGCTCCACAAGGTACTAAGCTGGTATCCAGCATGGACAGCAAGAGCAATGATGTTATCTAAGTCTAGGATCCACTCTAAGGCTACCTGAACCTGTCTGGAACCTGTCTGGAAGCCTAAGCAGATCCTTCACCTCAGGAGGAGTGGTGAACATAAAGGGTACTCACTTAACCCACATTGATCTCTCTCAAATGATGGCATCTTTGCTTATGACACTTCACTGGGGTCAGTAATTTTGGTAATTTATTTTTGCACTGCAGATCCAACATGATAATCCATATAAGCATGACAAGAGAACATGATAATGATAATATAACATGATATCATAGAATCATAAAATCATAGAATCATAGAATGGTTAGGGTTGGAAGTGACCTCAAAGATCATCTAGTTCCAACCCCCCTGCCATGGGCAGGAACACCTCCCACTAGACCAGATTGCTCAAGGCCACATCCAGCCTGGCCTTGAACACTTCTAGGGATGGGGCATCCACAGCTGCTCTGGGCAACCTGTTCCAGTGTCTCACCCCCCTCATAGTAAAAAATTTCTTCCCGAGATCTAATCTGAATCTTTTTTCTTCCAATTTAAAACCGTTTCCCCTTGTCCTATCATTACCCTTCCTGGCAAAGAGTCCCTCCCCAGCTCTTCTATAGGCTCCCTTCAGATATTGAAAGGCCGCTATAAGGTCTCCCCAGAACCTTTACTTCTCCAGGCTGAACAATCCCAGCTCCCTCAGCCTGTCTTCATAGGAGAGGAGCTCCATCCCTCTGATCATCTTCGTGGCCCGATAATGATAATGATAATATAATGTGATAACCAGTGTAAGCAGCACACATGGCTCTGAGAAAACTCTTCAGAATCCATGTAAGCAATAAATACCCAAAAGAAGTACCAAAGAAAAGAAAAGAGAAGGAGTGAAAGTACCTCATGATATTTTTTCACGGTTTTCCCTGACACACACGTGCAGGATTTCCAGTTCGAAGTCCCACAGCCACAGTTCCCTCCACAGCGCTGGACAAGGAGGCAGCGGGGAAAGAAAACTACATTTGTCAGCTTCAGTTCCTCCCTTAAATTGACAGAGTAGTTTCTCGGAGTGCAGCTGTAACGTTTCACATCATCATTCAACCTGTCCAGGTCAACTGCAATGCAAAAGAAGTTTCATTAGTAAGGTTTGAGTGGGACATTCCTCTGGTTTATACTGCTCCCCAGGCACTCAATAACACAAAGTGATGCGACACTGGTTGGAAAATATGTGCAGTGTAGCAGTGATTCCTGAATAGATAAACATAAACCCACCAATTTTAAATCATTACAGGTGGCCATCCAGGCTCTCATTCTGCTCCCATTGACTCTCATAGCAGAGCTCACACTGACTATAAAGGTGAAGGGAAGGCTTGCAGTAAAATATTGGCCTGAAAGCTAAGACTGGTTATTTTGTTTGCTTTCTCACTGATCTGTTGGATCCTTAGGTAAGAGTTTCCACTCTTCTGTCTTCTCTCCTCTGCTTATACTTGGCTTATTTAGATGATGGGCTCTTTTTTTGCTATTTTGGGCATAACCCATTTTGCCTAACTGCAGGCATACAAAAGGCAAACACTTTAAGCAAGGCTCTTCCCCTTGTCAGCAGAGAAATGTCTTTGGAGAGGAATTCATCCCTTCCTCACAAGGGCATTTAGGACAGGTGGCATGACTTGTTTCTCAAGTTGCCTTTCTGTGTTGTTTATGGATAGAGTCTAGATCACTCTTTTTTAGATGGAGAAATCAATCTAAGCAATATTAAGTTCAGCTGGTAAATGCTACTATAATAGGCATACAAATAAATACAATTAAAACTAATGAGCTTCATTGAATGCCAGTAGTTGGTTGATGTTTAAATGCCTGTTATCTCTGTGAGATGTGTCATGTAAACAAGTAGTAAAGTCAACCATAAAAATAACTTATAGGCTATCAACTGTGAATTTAAGTGCTGTTTCTAGCTTGAGCTTGTAAAGCAAAAAACAACAAAAAAAACCAATCCCTTCCATAAATCCATTTTCCACAATTATAACAGATAAAAGTAACAGATTTAATGAGTTTTGTTTCTATATAAGTTTTCTGATTTCTTTTTCTCTCCTTTTCTGCTTTCTTATTTTCCTTAAGATTCTGTCCACCAACTAAGTGTTTGAAAGCTCAATAACTTATTCAGGACTGGAAGACATGTGAATTTTTGTTGAGATCCCACCCCAAACAGTATTTGCTAATAGAAACATCAACAGGAAAATAGGAATGACTCAAATGAGAACTGAGATAACAGCGTAGTGTTTGTGAACATACCAATTTTCATGCACATGTTTAATAGCTCAACACCACCTCTGTGCACCATCTAAGTACACCTATGCTTGTGCTTTACTATAAACACGTGAAAACCTCCAACAAAGGCACTTTATATCTCCTGTGCCTCAGTCCTTGTCAACATCACAAAGTAAATTACAGAAAAAGCTGTGATTTGTAAATATCATGCACCTTTACATTCTTGCCTGGATATATTCACAAGGCAGATATGCAAGAGGCAAGGGTACGTAAATGTCACAAATGCTATTACAGAAAATCATAGCAGCTTCACTTTTCTGGCAAGATGTTATCTCAGTCAATGGGAATTTAGCAGATAAATTGTGATTTTCTAGCAATTGTGATACATCTTGCCATGAAATCTCAGTGGTTCTCTCCAGAGAGCTAGCATCTCTCCAGAAGAGGTATAGATCATCCTCCTGATATAGACACAAAATCAATGGGGCTACTGGTATACTCATGCACTGGGAGGAAAATACACTCTGAATGTCCAGAGCCAGGACTTAGAAGTCCAGAGAATAATGATTTCTTTGTTTTAATAGATGATATTTTCTTCTCCGCTGTCATTCTCCAGAGCCACCCCTTCTCATTGCAGGCTCCCAGGCTAATTCTTCTCACAGCAAAGTGTTTCCCACTCGTCTAAACGTTCTCATCAGGACCTTTGCCATCAGTTTCGCTTACAGATAATGCAAAGAGGTATCTGGCTACTATTCATTTCAGCTGATGGATGTGAAGAAAAAGTTAACCAAGGAAAGAAAAGGGCAGAAAATATTCTGCCTTCATGATTAATGAGATTTCTTGAGGGGAAAACCTGGATCATCCACAGTCTGGCACTGCAGCAATCCAGGGGAATGTATACTGATATGAGCCGGCTCCTATCAGGACAGGCTGGCCATAAACTAGGATGGCATTTCTAGACAGAGTTGGAATAAAATGCTCAATGGCTTAATTCAGCCTTAATTCAGCTGTGGTAACATAGGACACAAGGCTTCCAGTAACAAACTGGTCATTAAAGAGAGCTCAGACCCAGGTCACATGAACAGGACATCTGTGTCCAGGAGAAGATGACCAGGACACCCAACAAAATTTGCTCTAGCACAGATGAAACTAACCCTCAGGCTCAACAGTTGTTCTTCCTGCATTGAGCTGATACCTATTATCACTGCTGCGTTATCAACACAGAAATGAGTCTTTGTAATGAGACTGGCAGAGAGAGAAAGCACCGGCATTTAAAGGTAGGGGGGCTTTCCTGCAGAGAGCATATTATATCCATCACAGTGTTACACATATTAGCTTCAGTACTTAAGCTGCTCAATTTAAATGGCAAGGGGTGACCTGGCAAAGGGCTTTCACTGGAGGGGGGGCTTTGCTCACTAGCTTTCAAAACCCTAGTTTTGATGACTTTCAGAAGTCTTTGCAGGGTCTCTTAGACTGCAGTTGAGTCAGTACTGTGAAGAGCTGTTGACTTGCTCGAAGCATAGGAGGGAATAACCAGATATGACATTTTTTTTTCTCTGAAGTATGAAGAAATCAACTATTTTCAATGAGGGCTCAGAACTTTTTTCTGGATGCATTCTTCAGGAATTCTGAAATCAATCAGTGGGAAGATACATTTTACTTAGAACATTTTTCGATGAACTATTTTTGAAAAACCTATGGGAAATTTTCCCGTGGAAAATTGCATGAATTCCCCTTGGTTTCATACTCAAGACATTCTGATCCTGCCTTATTAGCAGTTTTCAGGACCCCAAATCACAGAGTTATCAGCTAAGATGTGAATTCTCTGTACTTTGGAATACCTTGGTTGGTATTCCAAGGACTCTGGTTGGACCAGAGTCCAGGTTGAAATGGACAAATACAATAACAGAAAGGTCTTATTATAGTGATGCTGAACTATTGAAAATAAATAACTGCAAACAGAGGAGAAAAGACTACATGAAGGGTTTCAGAGATACAGAAGCCATCCTCTATAAAAATTCATCTGGGGGTAAACACCTAAGCTCTTTTTGATTCTGCTCTACAGAAATCCACTGCTTGGTGGGATAAGGTGAGCACGCAATGTCTTCTGTGGACAGTGTATACTGTATTCTGGCAGCATCACACTGACACTCAAGAAGGGGCTCCCATTGACTAATCAGCTTTAGACTATGGCTTGCAGCCCCCTAACAAAAGAACATTTTGCTCTGAACATATCTCCCTACTGAAAGCTTCAATATGCATTTTTCCCTGTCTTGGGATTGTTTTACTGTCTGGAGCCAGTCCATTTCCTCATCCATATAACAATGAGATTTTACAGTACAGTCAGTTTCACGCATCACTTCACTGCTGTGACTAAAATGTAACCGAGCCTTGGTGTGATTGGTGTGAAATCCCGCTGCTTTACTTATCAAGGACTGAAACCACTAGAGTCCTTAATTTAAAACTAGAACTAAAAAGTTCTGTAGACTGGATGCAAAGAACTTCAAAGTATTATTACAGAATGTCTGCATCAGAGATTCAATTTAAAGGCAAGGCAGACAGAAAAAGATGCACTGGAGCAGTAAGGTAAATACTTGAGGTACAGTGTTTGCCCCTTCCTCCCCCTTAAATCCCATCCTTAAATCCATCCTTATTTCACATAGCACTAAGGCATGTGCTTACCTTGAAACATTGATCTTAATCAGAGGCAAGCACGGAAATTGGGAACCGTGTCTTATTCAGAAGGTACAGCCTTAAAGATTGGAGAAGAGAGAACACCTATGTTGTTGGTCACCAGTTAATTTTAAAAAGTCAGGTGGTTCGTTAGAGTTTCTTTTAACTGTTTATCTGTTTGAAATTCATACATGGATCTAACTACCATATCTGAACATTTTTCACTTTTTTAATGCATCAGCCACAGACTGGAGCTGAGGTGTAAGAGGTGGTAGCCACTTTGCCACAGTATTCCTACACCACATCTACAAGACCATCTACAAGGAAGGCAAGAAGGATTCAGGCAGTTGCAGACCAGTCAGTCTAGTCTCAGTCCATGGTAAAATTAAGGAGTAAATCTATCTGGAAACAATGTCCAGGTGCAAGAAAGACAAGAAGATGACTGGAAACAGCCAGCATAGATTTACCATGGGCAAATTGTGACTGACCAACCTGAGAGTCTGCTAAGATGAGACAACTGCCTGTTGGATAAGGTGAAAGCAGCAGAAGTATCTGCTGATTTTTGACAGTGGTCCCTAGCATCCCTGCAGCCAAACTGCTGAGATATAATGGGGTGGATGGGTGACAAATTGAGTGGATAACCAGAAGGTCCAAGGGGCTTGAAAAAAGTGATCAGCAATTCCAAGTACAACTGATAGCTGGTTACTAGCAGTATTCCCCAGGGGCTAATGATGGGGTCCATGCTGGTAAAGATCTTCGCTAATGACCTGAAGAATGGAATGGTGCGAACCCTCAGCAAGTTTGTTAGTGACATAAAATCATGGAAAGCTGTCCACATGCTGCAGGGCTGCCGCTAAGAAGTACCTCAAGAAGTAGTACCTCAAGCTCTAGAAATGTGCTAGCAAGAACCTTATGAGGTTCAGTGATGACAAATGGAAATTCCTTCATCCTGTATCAGTCCAGATAAGCAGAGTTCTGTTCTACTTTGACTTTCATCCCTTTTCAGGTATTCCTTACAGTTTGCAACAAAGGTTGTGCTGCTGTTTTCATTTTGACTCTTGGCTTTATAAAATTTCTCCTGTAGAGCGTGGAATTTTTCAGAGACCTATGAATGTATTCCACCCTTTATCCCCAGTCTTCATGCTCCACTACCATGAAGGTGTGTGCCAGGACTGTGTCA